TCTCTGAGCTGATTCCTCAGGGAGCCACAAAACAGGTCAAAATGCACAACCACAACTCTGAGAAAAACGTCTATATTTCTCCCTCTGGCACCAGCAGCTGAATTAGGAATTTAGGCTGCCGTCCACAGAGCTACTGCCTAACTGAGGAATGGGGATGGTAGGCAGATAACGAAAAAAGCCTTTCATTCATTAAGCACTCTTTGGTTCTAAGTTTTTAAATTAAATTCTAGAGTTTAAAACCAAGTTGATAGTGAGTTGTTTTTTGGGTTTTTTTGGCCAACATTTGCTTGTAGAGGGGTGGATTTTTAGATTTCTCTCCTCTGTCATCTTCCCGGGACTTCACTCTGATGACATATCAAATGTTTAACAATAGTTATCAATCACTGGAGGGATTGCTCGGGATTTAAATTTTGTTATCAACTTTTCTGAATTGTCTAACTTTTCTTCAGCAGGGTTTGTCAACCTTGACACTGTTGACATTGTGGTTCTGATAGATAATTCCTTGTAGGATGTTATCTTGTGAATTGAGGGGGTTTAGCAGCAGCTCTCTCCTTTACATGCTAGATGCCCATAGCACTTCCACCATTACCAGTTGGGACAACCAAAAATATCTCCAGGGATTTTATTACTATCAGATGTCTCCTCAGGGAAAAAAATGTACCTGGTGGAGAACTACTGCTCCTTAGGGGATGAGATCCTAATCTATGTAAGAAAGCTCTGTAGGTATAAAGATAGGTAGGTTGAGAGATTGATGGATAGTGTGGTTGGTTCAATAATGATCCACCAAAAGATAGACACATCCTAATCAATGGAAGCTGTTAACATTACCTTATATGGTAAAGAAAAAGAAAAGGACATTGCAGATGTGATTAAGTTACAGATTTTGAAGTCTTGAGGTGGGGAGATAATTCTCTATTATCTGGGTGAGGCCTAAATGCAATCACATGTTCTTATAAGACAGAGGCAAAGATGTAGAAAGATGTAAAAGAGATGTACAAATACACAAAAAAAGCCATGGGAAGACAGGTGGAAATTGCGGTGATGATGGCAATCAGCCAAGGAAGATGGGAAGCTGGCCTGCCCATACCTTGATTGTGGCCCAGTGATACTGAATCTGTATGTCTTGCCTCCAGGGTTTTGAAAGAATACATTTCTGTTACATTAAGTCATCAAACTTATGGTAATTTTTTTTACAGTAGCCAAAAGAAATCACAAATGGGTGAATAGATTGGTAGGCAGGTACATAGATAGATTGTTGTTGTTGTTTAGTTGCTCAGTTGTATCCAATGCTTTTGTGACCCCATGGACTGTAGCCTGCCAAGCTCCCTTGTCCATGGGATTTCCCAGGTAAGAATCCTGGACTGGGTTGCCATTTCCCTCTCCAGGGTATCTTCCTGCCCCAGGGATCAAACTTATGTCTCCTGCACTGGCAGGTGGCCATCAGGGAAGCCCATATAAAAGTATATATTTAATGTAATATATAAATATGTAAGTCTATATGTATATTATACATATATAATTTCTCTATATACAAAAATATTTAGAAATTTTTATATGTAATATATTTTTATTTAAAAATAATATCATTATATGTGAATAAAATTTTTTAATTTTTATATAAAAATATATTTATATATAGAAATATATACATACATATAAGAGATACATACACAGAGAAATATATAATTTTTCTCTCCATTAATAGTTCTCCTTATATGTATATCTTTAAATGAGAGCAAGGACAAATGGAGGCATCTTAGTTATTATTAAGCCAAGGATCATCACTCAGTTCCAGAAAGACTACAGAAAGGAGTAAAGGAAGGGATGGATATCAGAGAGTAATCTGAAATGATAGCCCAGAGGAATACAGGACCCATGAAACTGGTGAAAGTTGCCCTCTAGAGTATATGGAGTGTTACGAGGCAAGTTGGGGTTTGTTCCTCTAAATGAGCAGCACAACCGCACAGGTTGTAGTGGTCAACATGGTCAGAACAGAAATCACCAGCTTCGATTCTCTTCCCGATCTGCTCCTCTACTGAGCGAGTTTTCCCTCTTTCAGCGTTTTCCCTGTTTCATCCACCCAGATTCTCTGGCCAAATTCTAGAAATCATCACTGATTGTTCTTCCCTCATGACCTAGTAGCCATTTAATTTTTTCCAGCTGAGGGCCCAGATACAGTGGAATAGAGGCAAACCCTGTCTGAACTGCAGATGTGCAGAATCTATAATTGTTGTTTCACAGCATCAAGTTATGGAGCAGTAACTGATTTAAACACATTCTTTTAATGTATTCTTCATTTTAGTGCATCCTCTCATTCATCAGTAATTTCATTTTCCATCTTCCATTTCATTTTTATTCAATTTCTATCCCACTCTTTAAGACATTGTATTTTATATTTCATTCCAAGTCCCATTTCATCTTTTCCATTTCATCTATTTTTAAATAGTGAAAATTTCATAGTCCATTTATTTCCTGCCACTGCATTTTCAGTTCCATTCTGTATTCCTTCCTATTTAATTTCAATTTTGTTCTTTTTCCTAAAAATTTTATTTTATTCTATATTCCATTCCTTTTCTCATATGACATATTTTTTATTCTGTATGCTATTAAATATTTATTTCCATCCTCCTTTCCATTCCATTTTCCCATTATATTCCATCCAATTTTCATTCAGTTTTCCTTTCCATACCCTCTTCAGGTCCATATTCTATTCCTCATCTCATTCTAGTTTGCTCTGCAGTCTCATTTCATTCTATTCAGTATTACATTTCGAATCCACCTTACATCCCATATTATTAACATTCCAACTATAATTCCATTCTGTTTTGTATTGTATTTCCAGTTGTTCATCCACTCCACTAAACATCCCATTCCATTCTGCCAAAATTGTAATAAAAATGACTTTCAGGAGATCAGATTGCTGATACTTTTATCAAAGAATTACACATGTCATAGCAACAATTTCCACCTCTGGGAATTCATCCATAACAATGACAATCTAGATTATGAACAAATCTTATTTAGTAAGAAGGATGTGTGCCTTGCAGTGATGTGTTAGAGGGTTAAAAGTTGAAAACAACACAAATGTTTGCAATATAAGAATGATTGAAGATGTAGGTTTCTTCTCTAAGTGGAATATTTTCTAGTTACCAAATGGCCTTGTATAAATTTATTTATTGACATGGAAAGTGTGTTTTCTGGGTCTGAATCACAGGTTACAAAATAATTTTTATACATAATTCTGCTTTTATAAAACAATAATGAATGGCTGTTCTGCCAACATATACTTGAGCATTTGCAGTAGTTACCTATGGGTGTGTGAAAATTTAGCTGCAATTTTTCTTACCTTTGCCTCTTTTTTGGGTTGTAATAATGACTAAAAATAAATGTCCAAATGTTAAGCTTGAAGTCCGTGCAACACATTTACTAGACATCTGTGGCCAAGAATGAATATTAGGTCAAATAAATTAGTATATACTCATCACTAGATTACTGTGTAGCCTGTACATACGTTGATGTATAGTTAAGGGCAGTACCACTCTTTATTTCAGGCAACCCTTTGCCTCAAGGAGCCAGGTAGGCCGAAGCAGTCTTCCAGGAAGATGTTCAAAATGCCTTCTGGTGCCAGGCGACTACGGAGGCAGCAGGGCTGAACATTTCAAGAACGTGGGCCCTATCCTGTTTGTACCCTTTCAGAAACCATGCTCCAACTCTTTAACCCACATCAGTTCAGTGTGGGGTAATCCAGATGCCAGGAGGAGTCCCAGGACTCTCCCCTTCATGGACTCAGTGTTCTGACCAGACTCCATGAGGATGACCCAGCGAGGAGATTATTTCTTTCTGACCAGTGTGGTATGTCTTTCAAGTGATTTCTTGAGGTTGAGCTACCCAAAGGATGTTGACAAGCTGATGTGAGGTCATTCAAATTGTTTATCTCGAGAGCCCCACCTACCTGCACACAAACACACTTGTAGGGGCTATGTTTAAAGACTGAGGAAATTCATGTTACTGAGCATTCCAGGGCAGACCCCAACGCAGTGATGCACACTCACGTGTTTGCTGCCAGAAAGATGTGGGTTGGGCTCTAGGGAGATGAGAAGGGTCATGTGATATCCAGCTCACCAATCAGAAACTAAGGTTCCACCAGGGTCCACCCACCTTCTTCCGTCGGCAAACCGCCGGCTCTACAAGAGATGGCGTTTGCAATGGAGGACCTGTTTCTGAGAACCTGGCAATGTGACTACCTCATGAGGCTAGGGAGAAGAGGAGAGCAGCAGTAGTAGTTTATTTATTTTTTCATTTGTTTTCATTAGTTGGAGGCTAATTACTTTACAATATTGTAGTGGTTTTGGCCATACATTGACATGAATCCACCGTGGATTTACATGTGTTCCCCATCCCGATCCCCCAGCAGTAGCAGTTTAAATTCATGCAGGGTTAGGCGGCCAGTAGCCCTCAGAAGGAGGTCTCCTCTGCCGCTACCCTTCCCAGCAGGACTGGCAACCCAGGTCTTGATGTCCGGATACCCCCGTTCTAAAGTTACCCTCCTGATGCTGAAGCTGACGCTCCAATACTTTTGGCCACCTTATGCGACGAGACAACTCGTTGGAAAAGACCCCGATACTGGGAAATATTGAAGGCAGGAGGAGAAGGGGAGGACAGAGGATGAGATGGTTGGATGGCCTCACCAACTCAATGGACATGAGTTTAAGCAAGTTCCGGGAGATGGTGAAGGAGGACAAGAAAGTCTGGCGCGCTGCAGTCCGTGGGGTCGCAAGGAGTGTGGCACGACTGAACAAGTGACCCTTCACCACTGAGCTCGGCGCCTGAAGGCTTCCTCCAGCGCAGCCTCCATTTCATTATCACTCACAGCCCACAGCTGCTCTCTTTAAACTCCGCGCAGGCGCCAAACGCCCAGCAGAGGTACGGCGGCGCAGAAGGGCCAGAATTCATCGCGTGAACCTGGGCGCGAAGCCGTTACGTCGCCGAGCGGCACTGGCTCCGTCAGCGGACGAGTGCTGACCCTGGTTTAGGGAGAAAATGTGCCAAAAAGCGGCCCCACGGAGAAGACACTGCCCAGACCCGGGATCCTCCAGCGTGCTCTCCGTTTCTTTGAGCTTCTGGGACTCAGAGGCTTGACTCTTGTTGCCGTTTACTCCAAAACCTCAGCCCAGCTGGCGCACTCCTTTCTGAGGCTTCTGTCTGAAGCCCTGCATCCCGGCCAGGCCCTGCTCTCCATGGCTACGACCCCACGCCAGGCCCAGTCCTCCTGAGCCAACAACACACAGGTAAGAACGGCGCTTCGCTGCCGCCCTGGTCCATCTTGATTCCTGCTTCTCCCTCTAGACTGGCCTTAGGAAGGCTCGGCTCCCCCTAGGCCCTGGTGGTAATGCCGTCCGCCTTAGGCCTGCCTCATCCGGGTCTCTCGGCACATTCTCCTTTCATTTTGCTGGGCAGTGAGTGGAGAGCGGCTCCTCCTCGGGGTTTCTTGGCCTGAGCCCCCTTCTCCCTCACTGGGTTTTCTGTCCGGAAGTGCTCTCCTGCCATGACGATGATGATTTGGTTCACCTGAGCTTCGACTCCAAGCCTAGTCCTCCTAGAGTTCGGCCAGCCTTGCTGCCTCGACTGGATGCCCCCCGAGCCCTGCCTCTCCAAGGGGAGCAGGCCACAAAAAGAGCACCCACCCCACCCCCTGCTTACTGAGCTGTGACCTCTGTAAGCCGCCTCCAAGAAGCCGACTTGGAACAGACACCCATCCACCCACTGCAGTGATCTGGCTGCCTGCTGGTGCCCACCTGTGAGGTTTCCAAGAGTTCTGCCATAGCCACTAACATTCCGAGCAATTTAAAAGCCTCTCCTCCCCGTGACTCTAGCAGTCAGCTCTTAATCTGATGTTAACCCTAGATTCCAGTGCCCCACCCCCTGAAAAGAGCCTGCCTTTGCTCCTGAGTTGAAATGTCCCTTTTCCAAGTTGCCTTTTTATAGACTGAAATTTTCTTTGAGGGTGTCACCCTTGAAGACTCTCTCATTCCGACGTTTTCATAATTACAAGTAAAAGTAAACACTTCTTTTGTTCATGTCTTTGGGCATTTATGTTTCTGTGAAGTGCCTATTTATACTCATTGTTTTAAAAATATGCATTATGAATAACCCTTTTTCTGGCTAATGTGGGGCAAATACTTCCAGTTTGTTGTCTAAGTTTTAAAATTTTTATGGAGCTGAATTTTACTATCTTTTACAGTTTATGCTTTTTATATTTTAAGAAATCTTTTACTAATCCTAAAGTATATAAGATAGTCTTATTTTTTCTCCCTATGCTTTAAATCCTACTTTTCACAGAATGTAACCTACCTGAAATTTGCTTCCATGTGATTCCCATTTTATTCCTTGTTTTCATGTGGGTAATCAATTGCCAGGAAGCATTTAAAAATTACCCCCTTTTCCCATAATTTAGCACTGTCCCTGAAATGGAATAGGTTTAATTGTGGATCTAAGTTTAGACTCTTCCGTACAGCTGGGTCATTTGTCTCTGTGCACTTATACCACGCTGTTATAAAGAACTTTAATGTTGTAGGTCAAGTATCTCACTTCATTCTTTTTCAAGAGTGTTTGCATACTATTCACATTTCATAACCCTTTCCTTTTTCATGTACATCCTAATATGTCAAATTGCATGAAATATCCCATTGGGGTTTTGTTTGAAATTGCTTTGAAATTACAAGTTATTTTGCAAGGTCTATATTATTGTAATAGTGAATGTTGTTGTCTGTGAAAAGAGTGTGTTTTATCAAGCGATTTTTGTGTCTTATTGATTATTCTAATACTTTTCCCAGTAGTTTTATTCTGATGTTTCTAGGTGTGGTTTTCTTTTCATCTGTCTTGTTTGGAAGTCTGTAGGGGTTCTTTCTTTCTTTTTTTTTTTTTTTTTCTGTAGGGGTTCTTAATCATGCAGCTTGATATCTTCAGTCAGTTTTGAAAAATTATAGGCAATTATCTCTCCATAGAGTGATTTGTTTTTAGTAACTTTAAGTGTTGGTTTCCTTTTTTAATGTAATTTTTTTATTCTCTCTGAAATTGTTTTGTGTTATATTTGGAGGATTAAAAAAATGCTACTTAACTCTTTATAAAGGGACGAAGAGTCATCATCTATGGCTTTTATTTGAAATGGAGTTATGACCATAAAATTTCTATTTGGACAGTTCATACCCTATTAGCATAGGTGATTTACAGCTGGGACAAGAGAAGTAGAGTTTAACTCAAGGTGTCTAGAGAAATGGAAGGGTGATGGAGGTGCCCAGGGTCAGGAAGAAGCAGTGCATTATCAAATATGTGAAGGAGGATAACAGAGAGAAAATATGGAGAGCTAGGAGGAAGACTCAGAATCAAGAAGGAAGAAACAGCAGAGGTCAGAACCCTGAAGGGGGGAAGGTCTTGGTTTTTAGAGGAGGAAGAAGTTTGTGTGTTGAGAACATGGGCTTCTGAAGATGAGGGTTGAAGGGAGCTGGGCACTTATTCAAAGTTAATGATTGGCATGATAAAATGGTCAAATACTAAGTGAAAAAAACATGTTAATAGATAATTGCATTTAAAAAAACAGTTGTGACTGAGTTGTGAGCAGATATGTGAGGGTGTGTATTTGTGCATGTGCATGGACAGTTGTATAGAATTAAATGGGGATACACCATGCTGTGAACAGAGTATGTGTTCACTTGTGTTTTCACTTTGACCATATCATCATTTCTGTGATGAGGCTAAACTTAACTGTTTTTCAGAAATTTAACTTCTGAAAGGATAGTAGGAAACCACATTCAAGTGAGTGAAGCAAAAACAAAAAACAAAGCCCAAACACTAAAATGAACTCCTCCCATATTTCCCCTCTCCTCTGTTTTTTGGCCAGTTTTACATATACTCTGAGTAGATGTCTTTTTTATTATTGAAGTATCATTGATTTACAGTGTTGTCGTAGTTCCTGGTGTACAGCAAAATGATACAGTTATACATATATTCAATATATACATTCTTTTTCATATTCTTCACCATCATGGCTTATTACAAGATATTGAATATAGTTCCTGTGCTATACACTAGGTCCTTGTTGCTTATCTATTTTAGATATAGTTATTTGTACCTGCCAATGCCAAACCCATGATTTGTCCCTTCCCCCACCCCCTTTCCACTTTGGTAACCGTAAGTTTGTTTTCTGTGTCTGAAGCTATTTCTGTTTCGTAAATAAGTTCATTTATGTTATATTTTAGGTTCCACATATAAATAATATCATATATTTGTCTTTCTCTCTCTGACTTCATTTATTAATAGCATGGTGATCTCTAGGTTCTCCTCTCTTTTCTTCTGCTTTTCTGGTGTATGCCGAGTACTGGTATTTGACTGGGTCAAGAAGGGCCATAGTGCTGAGCCCTGTATTTTTGAGGGCCCTACTTGGGGACTCCTCATCTAAATTTCATACCAGAGCTAAGAGTCCACAGGGACAAGGGGATGAGGCCCCTGACCTTCTATTAGTTTTGTATAAAATATTGTTTTAGCCAAACATTTCATTTGGGTTTTTCTCTTACATCTTATGGAAAAACTCAAATGACCTTATTGGCCAGTCCAATATATAAGGTACCCTGATTCCCTGAGGACACTTTCAGAGCCAGCAAGGTCCTATTCTCAGTTATTCCTAAGGATAGAAGAGCTGGGCCTGTGATATGCTTGATCTTGGGTGCAAAAAGTGGCCAGGTGGTCACTGTTTTGGGGAGCAAGGGGTAGACAAAATACCCCCTCATACCCCAGAGACTGAGGAAAGCAATACTTCAAGCCTAGGTCTGGCTCCTTCCTTCACTGAGCCAGCATTGTAGGTGGAATCAAAGATCTAACTATCCTAGTTCATCTCCTGGGCATTTGATTTGCCTAATTGTGGACTCTAACCAAACATCCTTAACTCTGGCCCACCACACCGAAAATTACACAGCCCCAGTGGGCCACAGGCTCTTCTACCGTCCTTTTGACACTGAGTCCTTCTTACACACTCTTCTTAAGGAAGTACCAAATACCATCACATGGCAGACCGCCACACTGTAGAATCCAGTGGAAACATATCAGACATCATCTTGCTTGACCTTTGGGCAGCATTTAATACAATTGGTCACTTCTTTTCCTCTGTACATGTCCTTTCTTGACCTTTAGAGACTTCCCTCTTATGTTCACTTCATATTCTCTTGGACCTTCCTCATCTTCCATACTTCTATGTGTTAGAATTCCCAAGGTTTTAGTTCTAGGTCATTTTTGTCATGTTCACTTTGTGGGGAATCCTATCGAATCTCATTTTTTAAAATGTCACTTCAAGTTGGTGAATTGCAAATATGTATGTTAATTTTTACTCATCCCCTTGTGCTCCATTCATACAACTGTATAATTGTTTTTTTTCACTTGAGGTATGTAATAAGCATCTCAGATGTCAATAATACCAAGAGCTGCCCATTGGCAATATAACACTACCTACACAATGTAATTAACAATTATCTTGTCAAATTTTTTTTCTGAAAAGAAATGTAAAATTCACTTTAATAATGTTTTAAATTCCATCTATTCAGAATATATTTTCCATATGAAAGTAATATAAAAATTACTGATGAGTTATTTTCCATTCCTTTCTACTGAATCATTGCAGTCTGGTAACTATTTTACTCTTCCATCGTATCTCAGTTCTGGCTAGCCTCATGTCAAGTGCTCAGTGGCCACATGTGTGGACAGCACAATTCTGGATCTTCTTTCTTTCATCTCTGTCAGTTTCCTCCTGAATTACTTCCAGCCCCAGAGTTACTGCTGTTCATGGAGTCCTGTCCTAGAAGGCACCACCGAGGTACCAGTTCTGAGCGTTCACAGTGGTATTCTGCCCCAGTACCTTTGGTCCTTCTTGAGATGTGCTCCTTGCATCTGCCTGCTGTGGAAAAGCCAAAACCCTCCCAATTTTACCTGATGTTTCCAGTGAGTACCTAGTGACTAGTTTGCTGTTCTCTTATTATTTTAAAGTTAGATGCTGTGCCATTACTTCTTTTTTTCCCTCACACACAGACACCGATATTATGTAGGTAATAGGTTTCTTGGTGGTTTGTCCTCATCTACTTGAATTTGGAGATTTGAGCATGTTTGTACATTTCCAATGCTGTGAAATCATCAGCTCTGTTTATTATCAGAGCGTTTTCATCACTGCAAAATGAAATCCATGCCAGTTAAGTTAATCCTCATTCTTCTCTCTTCCAGGTCCTGGCAAGCACGAATCTGATTCCCGTCTCTGTGGGTTTGCTCATTCTGGATAGTCCATGTAAGTGGCATCGTATGACCTTTTGTGTCTAGCTCCTTTCACTTAGCACAGGGTTTTCAGGTTCATCTAAGTTGTTGCATGAATCAGTGTTTCATCCCTTTTTTAATAGCTGAGTAACATTGCGTTGAGTGTCTTAATTTTGTTTATCCATTCATCGGTGGACAGACATTTGGATTGTTTGGACATTTGAACCTTTTAGACATTTGGAGCAGACATGTACAAGTTTTTATTTGAACACCTGTTTTCGGTTCTTTGGGATATATATCCAGGAGTACAAATTGTAGGTCATATGTTAATTCTATCTTTAACTGCTTGAGGAACCACCAAACTGTTTCCAGAGTGCTGCACCATTTTATATTGCCCGAAGAAATGCTATTAGATTTCTATATTCTCTACATCCACGTTAAAGTTTATTACTTCTCTCTCTCTTTTTTTATCTTATAGCCATCCCAGTGGATGTGAGATGGTGTCTTAACTCAGTTTTTATTTGTATTTCTCAAATGACTAAGGAATTTGAGTATTTTTCATGTGCCCATCGGTTAGTTGAATATCTTGTTTGGAGAAATGCCTGTTTAAATCCTGTGCCAGTTTTTAAATTGGATCTTTGTCATTTTGTTGTTGTGTTGTGAGCACTCATCATATAGTTGGGATACAGAGACATTTATTGAATATATGATTTGTGAATAATTTCTCCTCTTCTGTGGGTTATCTTTTCAATCTGTTAGTAACGCCCTTGGTGGACAAAAGGTTTTAATTTTGATGAAGTCCAATTTAATTGCTTTTTCTTCTGTTGCTTGTGCTTTGGTTGTCATGACTGAGAAACCATTACTAAATCCAAGGTCATGAATATTTACTGTTATATTTTCTTTCAGGGTTTTTAAAAAACATTCGATTGTGCTAAGAACATTTAAGGTTACATATTTAATATATTTTTAAGTATGCAATATAGTATTACCTATAAACATAATACTGTACAGCATATCTTTAGAATGTGTTCACCCTGCATAACAACAATTTTATACCTGTTGATAAGAAACACCTTTTTCTGTTCCCCCTCCCAAGCGCCTAGCAGTGAACATTCTGTTCTTTGCTTTTTTGAGTTTGACTATTGTAGATTGCTTATTTAAGTGGAAGCATGCAGTTTTTGGCCTTCTGTGACTGGGTTATTTAATTTTGTATAATGTCCTTGGAGTTCATCCATGTTGTTGCACTGCAGGGTTTTGTGCTTTTTTAATGCTGAATTATGTTCCATTGTCTGTACATACCACATTTTTGGTCCATTCATCCATCAATGGACATGTAAGTTATTTCTACATCTTAGCTATTGTGAGTAGTCTTCTAATGAGCACTGGAGTGCTAATATCTCTTCTGGTTCCTAATTTTAATTCTTTATAATAAATATCCAAAGGTAGGATTGCTGGATCATATGGTAGTTTTAATTTTATGTTTTAGAGGAGACTCCACACAGTTTCCCATGGAGGCTGCCCCACTTTAAATTCACATCCTTGACAACATTTACTGTTCCTTAAAAAAAAAAAAAATAGACATCCTAATAAATGTAAGATAGTATCTCATAGTGATGATTTTCTTTTTTCTGACAATTATTGATACTGAGCATCTTTCCACGTACTCTTGGCTCTTTGTACCTCTTCTTTGGAGAAATGTCTATTCAAGCCCATTTTAAAATCAGGTTATTAGGGGTTTTTTTGTTTTTTTGTTTTTGTTTTTGGCTATAGAGTTGTGAGAGTTCCTTATGTATTTTGGAAATTAACCCCTTATCAGAAAAAATGGTTTGCAAATATTTTCTCCAGTTGTCTAGGCTGCTTTTTCGTTCTACTGATAATTTCCTATGTTGAACAGAAGCTTTAGTTTGATGTAGTCTCACCTGTTTCTGCTTTTGTTGACATATCTATGAAATTACAGTTAAGACCAGTGATCATGAAGCTTTTCCCCTGTTTTCTTCTAGGAATTTACAGTTTCAGATCTTTTTACTTTTTAATTTTAATCCATTTTGATTGATTTTTGTGGATAGTGTAAGATGAGAGTCTAATTTCATTGAAAGAATTTTCTGGTTTTAGTTTTTATATTTGGGTCTTTGATCCAATTAATATTGTAATGTGTGAGTGAAGAATTTAACTTCATTCTTTAATGTATGTCTGTCCAGTTGTCCTTTTGCCATTTGTCCAAGAAAGTATTCCTTCTCCATTGAATTGTCTTGGTACCATAGTCAAAAATCACTTAACTGAAGACGAATAGGTTTATTTCTGGCCTATTAATTAGGCTCGAGTCAGTTCTGTCCTTTCCTTCCTATCTTAATCCTACTCTATTTATATACCTATCCTTGTGTCAGTGTCACATTGCTTTATTACTGTAGCTTTGTGTAGTAAGTTTTGAAATTGGGAAATGTGAGTACTCCAACTTTATTCTTCTGTTTCAAGGTATTTTAGGCTATATGGGGTCCCCCAGAATTCAATATTTTAGGGCCAGCTTTTCAGTTTCTCATGCATAGTCACTGGGATTTTAATAGAACTTACATTGAATTTATAGATTGCTTTGGGAGTACTGCCTAAGTGGTTTTTTTTTTTTTTTTTCTTTTTGATGCTATTATAAATGAAAGTATTTTCTTAGTTTGTTTTGCTGTTGTTCAGTGATGGTGCATAAACATGCAAGTGATTTTTATGGGTTGACTGTCTACCCTGAAACTTTATTGAGTCTGTTTATTAGGTTTAATCATCTTTTTTTTTTTTTTTTTTTTTAGAGGAGTGGATTCTTCAAGATTTTCTTTATGTAAGATCATGTTATTTGCAAACACAAGTAATCATTTCTTTTCTTCTGATTCGTATACCTTTTATTTATTTATTTTTGCTTCATTATTCTGGCGCAGACTTCTAGTAAAGTATTGAAATAGCAAAAACGGACATGGTAGTCTTGATCCTGATGTCATGGGGAAAGCTTTCAGGCTTTTGCCATTGAGTATGCTGTTAACTGTGGGTTTTTCATAAATGCTCTTTACCATGTGGAGAAAGTTCTTTTCTGTTCCTAGTTTGTTGAGTGGCTGTGGTATTGGAAGATGTAGCCATCATAGGGAGGACCTTTGCAAAAAATGTGTGACCAGGGCCTGCAGCCAGGTTAAGGTAGGATGAAACTGTAGCTGCATAGGTGGAGGTTACAGGCAGCCTAGGAGAGAAGTTGGTAGCAAGTGCATGATTAGAGCATATGGAAAGTCAAGTGGGAAATCCAACAGGAAATACATAGGTTGAAAGTGCAAGAAGACTTGGAGGGAACGTGTCTGAGTATGCTTCAATGCATGGTTAAGCCAGTTTAAGTGGCTGCATAGGTGAAGCTTGTGTCCAGCCTAGTTGAGTCAGTGGAGGGAGGTGTGTGTTGGGGGGGGATTGTAGCCTGCTTTGGGGAATAGTGTAGGGGGAGCCATCCAGCTTAAGAGTGGTTTTAGCAGAAGGTGTATCTGTGGAGGGTAAAGCTAGCCTGGGGGATGGGGATGTGGAAGGCGATGTATGGGTGTATGGTGCATTCATTCTTGGACCTGGCAGAAATGCAGAGATTGGGAGAATATACAACCTAGGGGAGGATATGACAGGAAGTATGTGTGTGTGTTGAATACAGCCAGCCCAGAGGAGGTTCTGCAGAAACACGTGAATGGAGGCTACAGCTAGCCTAGTTGTGTAATGGCAGCAAGGGGATTGGTCGAAGGAGCATCCAGTCTGGGAGGGCCTTCACAGACCTTGGATGGGGGAATTGTGTGATCGCCTGGAGGAGGATCTTACAGGAAGTGAATGGATGAGGGGAACATCCAGCCCAAGGGAGGACCTGGCAGAAGATGCATGGTTGGAGAAAACGCCTTGTTTAGTGGAAGTCTACTCAGGTGATGCTTGGGAGAGAGCATCCAGTCTTAGGGAGGACATGGCTGGAGAAGAATCAGCATGAGTAGCTTGGGTGCACAATGTAATCAGTCTTTGGGAGGACCTATGAGAAACTGCATGGGTGAATGTTGCAGCCAGCTTTGGGAAACATGGCAGGAAGAACATGGGTGGAGAGTGTAGCCAGCCAAGGAAAGAACATGAGAGAAGATGCAAAGGTAGATGGCGTATCCAGCCTCGGTGAGCACCCTAAAGGAGGTGCATGAGGGCAAGATGCAGCCAGCCCAGGGCCAAGGTAATCGTTTGGTGCGTGAATGTAGGGTGAAGCTATCCTCAGTTAGGACGCCAGAGGAGGAAGTATCCTGTGGGGAATCATGGCACCATGTCCATTCATGGTAAGGGACATCATTCTACAAGGACGTGGCTAAAGAGGCATGGGTGCATGTTGCAGCCAGCTCATGTGAGGAAATGGCAAGGAGTGCATAAATGCAGAAGGCAGCTAGCCTCCAGGAGGACCCTGCTGCAGGTTCATTAGCGGATGGTGCATCTAGTCTAGGAGAGGATTCAGCAGGACGTACATGGGTGAAAGGCACATTCTTTCAGAGGAAGATGCAGCAGGTTGTGCATGTGGGGAGCATCCAGCCTAAGATGGTTTTGACAAGAGGTGAATGGATGGATGGTTCAGGCAGCCTAGCAGACAGCCTGGCTGAAAGTGCACAGGTAGTGAATACAGACAGATTAGAGGAAGACCCAATGGGAAGGACGTGTGTAGAGGGCGTACCCCAACCAGGGGAGGACTTGGTGGGTGGTGGATGGATGGAGTGTGCAGTGGTCATTCCGGGTATATACTATGTTTTCAAGTTGGGAGCTGTAAATCCAGTGTTCACTACCTTGAAGTTAGGCTGTGGTATTAGTTGTCAAAAGGACTGTATAAGATTCTGTCCATCTAAGTTTGAGATGAATCTTTTGATAATGTCATTTCCAAAGGAGTTTATCCTCTAATTGAAGACTAAAAGAAGTGAGAAGGCAGACTTAACCTGCTGGTGATAAGTATGAGTATACTTAGTTCTTTAAGTACTTAAGGATGTTTCACTTTATTAAGTTTGAGGTATCCAGGTAGAG